TGAGTGACAATGAAATATACGCATTTGAGCTGGCCTCCGAAAAAGGAGCCTCAAACTGGTTAAAGGCACTGCCACTTAGCAGATATAATTTTAACCTGAATAAATCCGAATTCCGGGATGGATTTTATATCAGACATTGATGGGAACCAATCAACTTTCCACTCACATGTGCATGTGGTCAATCTTTCGAACTTATCCACGCCCTTCACCCACATGAGGCATATTGAAATCAGAGATACCTTTGCCAACCTCAAGAGCGAGGTTTAATTTGATGTTGAAATCGAGCCGAAACTTCAGTCGTTGCAAGGCGAGAGCTTTGTCAACAGCTCAATCAAAACTGATGAAGACGCTCGTTTAGAGGTGAAAGCAAACGGATTATGGTGCTCAAGGTTTATACGGACCTTTTTTGATGTCAAGTTCTTCAACACGCACTCAAAAACTTCACGAAGACCACTGAAAGGTGCTTATAAGTAACACGAATCACTAAAAATCTCAAAACACCAACAGATAGTTCTACGATTCGAAGAGAGCAACTTCTGCCAGCTCATTTTTGGCTGCACTGGTTGTTCCGCACCAGCAGCTACTCGGACAAGGCAGCACACAGCTGAAAATTTTAGTGAAAAAGGCATGAAAGCTACTCAGAAACAAAAAACTATATAAGAACTAAGATAAGCTTCGCGCTGCTCAAGAGCGCTGTCCTTTGTATACGGTGGTGCAGATCACTGCTTAAATGCAATTCATAGACAATTCAATTAGCGCTGTTGTAGAGGAGGGACGTTTGATGTAAATACTTTAAATGACAATGAATTAAATGCTGACTTGACTTAACTCCTGCAATAATGTTTGTTGATGTATTTATATAATGCTGGTATGGGCCCTATCCAGCTTGTGCACGACCGTACCTAAACGGAACGGCCCCTTTTATAATTTACTTCTCTTAACTTATTCTAAACCTGGCAAACGCAGGGGCCCAATCAAAAATATCAGACTAATCACTCTCTTTCCGACCATCAGAAAGATTCTAGCCATTGTGACACTCAACAGAATAAAACCCGACTGCGACACTTACCTCAGCACCTCCAAGTGCGCATACAGATCAGGACGAAGCACCACCGATGTTGTCTGGGCCTACAGATGGACGATCACGAGAGCCCAAAAGACGAAGACATCTGTTTTCTCCACGGGAATCGATCTCTCGTCTGCCTTTGACACAATTTGGCGCGAGAAGTTGTTGGAATTACGGAGAGCTTTCTAGATGAAGACGCTAACAGGCTCATCAGAGTTTTGATACCCGACACCTCTCTGGAACTGCGAAATAACGGTGCTAAGGAGAGACCAAAATTTGAGACTAACATCGGATCCCCACAAGGCTATGGTTTGAGCGAAATGTTGTTCTACATATATTTCGAGGATGCCCTGAGACATGTTCGTCGGCTCCTTGAAGAAGGATCCAACAAAACCAAAGACCACACCTAAGCTGTGGACGACAAGCCCAGAGAATTCGTCTACGCCGACGATAGTGACTTCTTGTCTCTGGAGAGAAACAACGATTCAGTCCAGAAAATTGAAGAGACTCTCAAGGTGTATAACCTCACAGTGAACGTAGATAAGACCAAAAAAATCGTTATCAAACGCGGCGAACGTCTCGAGGAATTCTGGCGCAAGAGCAAGAAGTTGGGATCACTTCTCGGAGACGAAGAAGACATTCTCCGAAGAAAAACTCTTGCTAGAAACGCCTTGCGAGAGATAGACAATGTCTGGGTTCGGAAGACCAAAATCTCTCTCCGAAAAAGGCTCCACCTCTACAACTCACTGGGGAAGCTGATCCTTCTCTAGAGTTGTGAGACTCTGTCTAAAACGGAAAGTGAGAAACTGGATGCCTTCCATCGGCAAAACCTTAGACATGTTGCCAACATACGTTATCCACACCGAATCAGCATTGGACCCCTCTATAGACTCACAAGTTAACGTCCGTTGAGTGAAGACATCGTTGAACGTCGCTGGAGATACTTGTTGCATGTGCTTCGCCAAGTCAACTCGCCCCCTTGCCAAGCGATGAACTGCTACATATCCCCAAAGACCACCGGTGGTCTTCCTGGCCGACCTAGTACCACAATCTTTACCACTATCAGCGAAGTCCTCAAGAACCTGGACAAGAAAACTATTTTCTGGCGAGTCAACGACATCAAGAAACTCGAGAACCTCAGTGACCTCCAGAAACTCCGAAACGTTGCTATCGTCAGAGAAAATTGGAAAGTCCTTTCTAATCATATTGCTGCGGCTGCCAAAACAGGAAACGTATCACTGATTTACTTGTGAAACTGGCGTTTACTACTACGTGTTAGTTTTCTCAATCTGATTGGCTTGATTCCCAACCATCTGACTGTTCAGTCTTACTCACGTTGTACTTTACTTTTCCCTAACTTATGAAATTCCGATGGTTTTTGACTGGGTGAAATGATGAAGGATTAGTGAAGTAACTTCGGTTACCATGATAATTTCTGATTTTCCATTTGAAATGAAATTTAAAAAAGCATAAGTGTATGGTGTTAAAGAGCCAAAAGTTTCCTTGCCGAAATCCGTGTTAAAAAGACGAAATCTTCTGTGCCATGTTAAAGAGCCAAAATCTTCGTAGCTTCCCTCTATCTTCCAAAAATTTCATTTTAGCAATCAAAAAGGAAAAAATTTTAAGCTTGAAAATAGAAGAATCTCAAATTGTTCACTTATCGAAAGTTATGAAAAAAAGAGTAGTAAAAACAACTAATTTCAAATCTGAATCAACAAAACCAAATTTTTGCAAGATCGTTCAATCCCACAGGTGATATACAACGCTCGTTGTCGATACCGAGAACCTGGATGCTTCGAATCTTTTTTTTCTGAAGTTTTTCTGAAAACTTTATCACACGTACACTTGAATTGAATGCTAAAATAGTCCAGTCCATCATTTACTTAAATAACAGAACATTCTGCCCAAATAACAGAACATCTTGACAAATTTCAAATAATGACACCATTTCAATTCGGATTTCGCAAAAACATTTCAACACAAGATGCTCTTGTTTATGTGACAGAAAGTATTCGAAATCAAATAGATTCAAGAAAAATTGTACATGCAGCTTTATTAGATCTGTCTAAGGCTTTTGATTCTATTTCGCATGAAGTTTTAATTGAAAAAATGCTTTCTCTCGGTTTTTCAAATGGAGCAAATGCTTTAATTGCTAGCTTCCTAAACAAACGTATTCAAAGAGTAAACGTCAATGGAATTTTTTCAGACTGGATTGAAATAAAACGAGGTGTCCCACAAGGAACGGTACTTGGTCCGTTGTTGTTCAATTTATATGTTAATGACATACAAGAGCGATTATATGAAGGTTGTACTTTAGTTCAATATGCTGACGACTGTATGGTGTTTTCCTCTTCTATAAGTTCTGAGGATGCTTTGAATCGATTGCAAAAATCACTCAATAATCTAACGGAATTTTTTGCAGAGAACCAATTAAATCTGAATGCATCTAAATCGGAATTTATAACATTTTGTCAAAAAAATGATAGCAAAAATGTGGATACTGCTAAACTAGTAATTAGTGGGCATTATGTAGCCAAAAAATCAGAATGCAAATATTTAGGCATAATTCTTGATTCAAACTTAACTTTTCATGCTCAAATCAAAACAATTCTCCAAAAAATGGCCCAAGGGATTAAAACTATTGATACAATTGGACAACAACTGCCGACATTATCATTAGTTGCCTTGCTTCATTGTCTTGTTTTATCACATTTAGATTATTCAGCAATTTTTTTACAACAAATCAATGCTACTTTGATGCTATCTCTAGAGAAACAGTTGAACTGGGCGCTAAAAAGAACATATTTCAGATCGAAATTTAAATCTTCTTCCCTTCTTCGAATTAGCAAATCGTTCATTGGAATCGAGAAAAGAATTGAGTTAAAGTGTATAACATACCTATACCAATATCTTACAAACAAAAAGAAGGCTTTTGAAAATACACTGAGACTACCGACTGCCAATTATAGGCTCAACGAAAGAACGAAACAAATTATTTTTGACAAACCTTGTTCGACTGCTTCTCTACAAAAATCATTTTTTCATTTGACTTCTAAAAAATGGAATTCACTGCCCATAATTTTGCGCAACTTAGAAAAATCAAAAACAGAATTCAAGAAAAAATTGAAAGAATTTTACGTGAGTGAATTGAGAAACAATCCTATATGTACTAATACAAATACGTGGCGTGATTTCCGTTTTTGCTAGTTCTATATGTTTTAATTCAGTTTAATTTTTCACACATTGCTTGAAAGAAAAACTGTATATACTCTGTATATACGCTGTATAATTGGACTATCTGTAAAATTGTTTGTAAAGTTTTATTACCAGCTTGTTCCTAATTCTTTAATCTTTATTTTTCTATAGTATCCGAAACTTCATATACTTTAATCAACCAATTTCCGAACTGTAACCGATTTTGTTTTTTTTGTTTTGTTCATTGCTTGTTTTCTGATGTTTTGTTTTTCTTTGATGTAACCAATGAATTTAGAACCAATTTTATTATTTACACTTTGCTACACTGATGCCTCGGCTCTTTATTGTATAGTAATTCAAGTGTTCTTTCTTCTTCTTCTTTACTGTGAAAGATTCAAAAATGAAAAAGATGATAAAGACTTGGTTTTTTTTGAAAATGAGCAAAATGTGAAAAAAGCAAATGACAAATATCTTGGTGTTATAATTGATTAATGTTGAAATTATAAACAGCTATGGCCCATGAAGTCGAGATTAATATTAATAAATGCATTAATCTTGAGCCATGTCCACTATCTAGCTATTTTAACCTATATAATATCAAATCATTCAAAGGTCATCTCAGATCTTTCTGGGTAGTTGATTTTTTAACTAATTTTTTTCTCGATGCTTCAAAAAGTTTTTGGTTTGAAACCTGAATTTTCTGGTTTTGCTCATAAACTTATGTCAACGAGATCTTTTAAGATGCTTTCATGAGCAATGCCCGGCGAGTTGCGAGTGAACATCAAGTCAGCACGAGGCCTGCCCATCATGGATAGGAGAAGCGAGCTAACGGATGCTTTTGTAGAAATTCGTTTTGCAGGTATTGTGCAATTAGTATTTTTTTGTAGAAGTCAGTACAAATCTAAATCTAGGTGTCTATCTCATTATATTTTTTAAATTTTGTTCTTGAGTAACAAAATATCAGTTCGTTGTATTAAAAAACAAATAGGAGGGAGCTTTAATGTTACATGGGATTTATAACACAAGTAGTCTTTGCTCTCATTTCGTAACGCGTCGGTGAAAACTCATCAATTTTCCAAACAGGGTATTGGGGGACACCAAGCAGCAAAGCAATATAACGAAATTGATAAAATTGACAATTGATTCAATATTTTTTTCCTGGACTGCGTGACGCCTTCTGGGAGGTTCCTTTTCATAAAACTTGACAATCTTATCTTTTCAAGTGACGAGTTATCAAGGATTAAATCTTGATAACTGTTGTTGAAACGTAAAACTTTGGTTTTTAGGATGAAAAAAGGCGGTTTTCACAGACTCTGATGAGCAATTTACATCGAATTGAATTGATTCGGAATTTGGAGACAACAATTGCGATTAATTTTGAATTGCTCAATTGATACAAGCAAAATTTTTGCAGCTCTAATTAAAGTTTGTTCTCCCCTTATAATAAAAGCCTGCTTACTAGCTTTGTTCGCTCGAAATTAGACTGTAACTCAAAAATGTCCACAGTTTATCTCGACACTGGGAAAAATTTTTAAAATTTGTTCGAATTACGACTGAAGGATTTAAATATGATAAATATGATGTAGTATAATAGTGCTATTTTCATGCGAGATGGACTAAAAGTTCTCAACCAATCAATGTCCTTCAAACTTTTCAATTTTTTGCTTTTTAAATACTTTGTGTGATCGGTTGACAAAATTTTTGTTCATGAGGGATTCCTCCGTAGTATACTTGTATGTAAGATAACGTTTAATTTGATACAACTCGGTTGAAGATGAATTAATTAAGGTGTGTTGTAATTTTCAGTAAGTAATTTGTTTCAGTAAGTAATTAGTTAAGTTTAGGAGAAGTGAAGAAGACGCCAGTGTGTCACCGATCTTTGAGCCCAACGTGGGGTGACCCCGAGACAGGCGTTGGATTCTGCTTCAACTTCAGTGAAGACGAACAACTTTTCGAAGAGCTTCTTTTGTTGCGAGTTATGGATCATGATACTTATAGCGGTGAGTCTAAATTGAACTCTTTTGAACATGTTTCATGAACTGTCATGATCTCGCGAATTTCAAATAGCCTGTTAGTTGAAGGACAGATTTTAGAAGAGTAGCGTAGACAAAATAAACCGTGCGAAATCGATAAGTTTGTATATTTCGATCTTTGGAATATCTTGTAAGATAGAGATATTTTAGCATATATGCGATTTGTAACGTTTGTTGCATAGTCCTCTGTTGCGAAAATAGCGTTAATTTTTCGTCAAGACTGGAAAATATTTGTTTGAATTTGTGAATTGAAATAAGCAAGCATTGCCAGATGAGAACATCGGCTTTTTGCAGTTGAACAAAGTTTTGTACTAGCATCAGCCAATCAGTTCATACTTGCTTGATTAAATTCAGATTCAGAGTGTTTCGGTCATTTCGCCAAAAGGTGAAGCGCCCATCTTTGGAAAGCCTAAAGCCTGGTGTCTGAGACCGGGCGAGAACTTTCTTTTCGTGTACTGGGTTTTTTCAGCTTTTAAAGTTTTGTTCCAAATTTTTGTGCTTCTGTTTAAATTTGCTGGCTTAAATCTCTCGGTACGCTTTTTTCCTGAAAATTCAGCAGTTTTACCATTTTTTGAATCACCTATATGTAGCATTTCTAGAGGTGACACGGTTTTGATTTTCCCGCTTTTTGAATTAAAGGTTTCTTCAGCTTAAACGGTTTCACGTGTTCTATCGGTTTAGCTGCCTCGTATGAGGAGCGAGAATAGATTTGGATATTCAAAAACTCAATGTAGCTCAAAAAATTCTCGACCATATTTCATTTCTTATTTTGTGACAGTCCAAGTTCCATCTGTGTAGTAAACGCCTTGTAGATTTCGTTTGCAGGCAGGTTAATTTTGCGACACTTTTTCATCTAATGGGATTTCAGATGAGACACACATATGAAGTTTTTCTTTACAGTGAGGTTTTTGGCTTTTTTTTACAAGATATCTTTCGTCTCATTTTTCGACTGGTTACTACGCTATGTTTGTGTTACATCGCTGTTCTATAAATAACCCAATTCACGCACGAATTAGCCCACGAAACATTTTTAGATGCATTGTAATAACACAAGAAATCAGATTTTTAAGTGAATGATGCGTAGTTATGCGAGCTCTTATGTTTAGCTCATGATGCAATCGGACGTGTGGACATTGACTTGAGCATGTTTCTCTATCGGAGTTCATCCCCCAACCAAATAGCAGGCTTCTTCCCTATATTTGACACCATGCATGGTATTAGAGGGGAGTTGTACGTGAAGATCGAAGTCAGTCTCATTCCGACCACCAACAGCACCACTGATGTCGTCTTCTATGCGTCTGCTTCAGGTGGGGTGAGTTTCCTCTGTCCTGGCCATCATTGGTTCTTGGAAAGCGGTCAGCTTTACAGAAGATGTAGCATTACATAAAAATAGGTTTTTTTCCAAGTTATATTTCGTAATAGCAGGGGCAGATTGGGGGGGGGGGGGGTGGTATCGGACGCCTCGCTCAAGGATTTGACCACCTGCCCGACCCAAAGGGTCCACTCTTTGTACTATTTTGAGATATCAATTTTTGGCTGTGCCGGCGGCGCAGAAAATTTGGTCAAAATAGTGTCTTTTTGGTGATGGGAGAGCATTTTTTTGAAAATCCGGCCCTCCTGCGTAATAGAGCTACTTTTGGAAATTGCAGTATTTTTTTTGTGAATTAAATTAAGGTCAGGTCAACCATTATCTACCACATTATAATGGGGATAACTTTTTTTTGAAAAAGATCAGTTGGCTTGGGAGTATAAATCTTACACTCATGCATGAGAAGCCTAGCAAGTATTCATTTTTTTTCAAATTCGTTTGATAATTTTCAATGTTTAGTGCCTCCAAACTGCAAGCTAGTGACGGTTTTTGGACTGGTTGATGAGCTGGTCGTGAATGAGGATCCGGAGTTCCAGCTGATAGACAAACTGAGGACTTCTCGAACTAGCAATGAAGTGAGAGTCAAGGTGTTTTCACAGCTGTCTGCGCAAGTCAGAAGGAAGCTGGCCTTGAAGTCTTTGGATCTGGGAGCCAATGCTGTTTTGGGATACCAACAGTTTTTTGACATTGAAGGTCTGTAGATTAGAGATGAGAAAAACGTAAAGGTTTTTTAAAATCTATATCATCGGTATTTGAAGTGCACAATTGAAAACATGAATGAAGGCCTGGCTTTAAGGATTTTCTCAGGAATTGCGGATTTTCGATTGCCGTTGAATGGCTTCTTTTGAAAAACAGTATCCAAAAATCTCAACCGGGATTTTTTTACCCTCGTAATAATAGATATTTATTAAGTTTTAATATTGCGAGTGTATTGTCTTAAAACGAAGTCCTAATTTTCTCACCCAACTCGCAAATAAAAGTGCTCATATGGTAGCAATTTTGCAGCATGCAGAATTGGCTTTTTAATAGCATCTTTTATGAAATTTGGTCACGAAAAGTGGAAACAGATGATGCTTTGTCTTTTTAGGCAGTCGCGTGTAGTGTCTTTTTTCATCTGTTCGCCACCTTTTCCTACTTTGCGCGAAAACGAAAGTTCTGAAAAAGTGGCTTGTTTGCTGCATTGCCATAGCATTGACAATTAATTACAATCTTCTGTATCTGCTATATTGGTTGCTAGGGTTTGACGGTTGCCAATAGACATCGACCATGGCGCAGATGCGACGATGTCAGACTATTAATCTCAAGTTCTGTTTTTCGATTGAGCCAAAGTCAAAACTTAAGATTAATGAACGTAGTGAATTTTATAGGTCTTGAAGATAGGTCGTTTTCAAGCAAAAGTCTTAAAATTTGTTCTCGCTCAATTTTGATTTTTCGCTTATTGATCCAGTTTTCTCAAATTGGATTACTTTCATGAAAAATTTTCAAATATAAGTTGTTTAAAAAACTCAGAGGTTTAAGGCAATCTAGTTTTATCGAAATTCAAAGGCTGATGTTTTTGCGAAAATCAAGTCAGTTTTTTTTGTTTCTTTGCGTTCATTAATCTTTTCCAAATGTCAGTTGGCTATATTTCCTTATTGAGATTAATGAAAGTAGTGAAAACTTTTAAATAGCTTTTGCTAATTTTCGTTTTTTCAGGAAAAAGTATTAAAATTGGCATAAAAGTCTCTAATAACTGCATGTGTGCATTTATACATATTTATGCATTTATGAATGCACTTAGCTGAAAGTGACGTAAATATCACTAGTCAAATACGAAAGTGGAAATAGCGCGAAAAAACGTGGACGATTTCTAGTTTCGAAAGTGGAATTTAATTTTTAGATTTCCAACGGAATAAAAACTTTACATCTTGATCCAGTTTTCTCAAGTTGGGTTAATTTTATCTAAAAAAACGCCGATCATAAATCGCTCTAGAAGTTCAAAGATCTTAAAGGGCATCTTTTTTTCCTGGAAGTTCAAAAGTTGAGATTTTTTCAACAAGTGTGTTTTTTATGTTCACTTGCGTTCCTTACACTTTTCCAATTTTCGATTCGCTATGTTTTTTTTTGCATTTTTTGAGCTATGTGCTGCCGTTTCATCGCTTTTGTGTGGAAATGGCCACTCCGTCTCTGTGGGAAAATTTTCAGCCGTGATTTGCTTTCCAAAAAATATATAAAAAATTTCTGCGTCGAGAAAAATTGGTCTGAGTCTTAGTTTTTCAGACAATCGTTTCCGACTGGAAGTCTACTATCAAAATTTTCGGGAGCTTAACAATGTTTTAGTTTTTATGAGTTGATATTTATGGATTTGTATTTGTACCTTGTGATTGAGTAAAATAAGACGTCTCATCTTAATATTTCATTATTTCACTAGTGATCAGCGTAGTGTGTTTGTACGAACCTTCTTTTTTTCTAACCTTACTCGCAAATATAAGCGTTCACTTATCTGATGGAATTTGTTTGCTATAATCATGATCTAGCATTGGAAGTTTTTTAGCATCTGTTGTCTGCTTTATTTGTGGCTAGTGTTTGTGATGTATTTAGCGTGTGTGGCCGAGTGATTAGTGCGTGAGACTCATAATCTATAGAATCCGAGACTTAGCCGAGTTTTAACTCATTCGAGGTTTATTTCTACTTTTTCTTATTGAACTTAATAGAGCTGCTTTTTGTCATGTTCTGGCTACTGTTTGCGAAGCGAAGCTTTCCCTCTGTGTAAAAACATGATTTTTAAACATCAGCCAAACTCCACTTTTCAACGGTGGACCTCTTTTTCCGTGGTGGACAGACATTCTTTGAGACATTCTGTGCACCGCAAACTTCTATCCTAGCTTTAATATAGTCTTTGTTTTCAATATTTACAATGCTTTCTAGGAGATACTGGCGTAGTAGTGCGCGGATTTGGAACTGCCGTCAAAAGAGTGCAGGAAGTGGCCGGTCCTAAAGGTGCTGACCAGATTGCCAATTTATCGTCCAGTCAACAGACACAATCCGGGCTTACTCATTCCATGTACAGTGGCTCTAATCTGAACCCAGTCCTCCCACACCAGATGAGCATTCCAGGGGTCAGTCCAGATCCAAACGCCGTGTCAAGTTTGGAGGATTGTATGCAAAACCAGTTTGGTGAGACTCCTTTTTTTCAAAAGTTCTCAATCGAGCCATTCAATTTAATTTTTTTATTTACGTTTTGGAGCTGTTTTTGTTATCTGCTTTCTGGTAATAACGTTTTTGGAAATTTTAAGTTGTGTATATATTTTTTATTTTCTGAAATAATCGAAGGCTATCTGATCAAACTTTAGATACTTTGAGTTCAATATTGTCGAGTCCCCGAAGTCGTGAAATATTTTATTTTCAGACAGTCGGATATACAAACACGTGGTCGAGTATCCCTTCTTCACATTGCTGACATTTGAGCACGGGGGACACAACTCGGCTTCGAACCCGTACAGCTTCATAACCTCAATCGGTCAGTGCGGTTCAAGTCATCTTTTGATCGAGATCAATGAAACTAAGAAACCAAAAGTTAAATTTATAATTTTTTACGGTGGATGCAGAACTGCATTAGCTTTGCTAGCTGTATCTACATTTTGGATTTCAAGTGTTTGTATTGGGAAATACTGAGTCGGTTTAATTTAATGCATAAAATATGACAATGGTTGAGACTAAGAAGTAACCTTATCAAATAACAATTTCACCCAGCATAATATGACGGCTATACGTTCGTCGGTTTGAATGTTCAATTCAATTCGAGCGAGCTTTTAAATGAGTTCCTACGCCAGGAAACAAGTGTGGACCAAAAAGATCCATTGAGCGTGATGTTAGGTCTGGATGTTAGATCAATTAAGAATTCATAGATTGGCTCTTATGATATGTGGGTGGGTGTTTAGGGGGTCTGGTGTGTGCCCGATCTGTGAAGCTGCTGGACCGGATGGAGGACCCGGAGAAGAGTCTGATGCGGGACAACTGGTGGCTGGAGCTGCGCATCGAAATCAAGTCTCACATGGAGGTCAGTCACATTACACAACTCACAACTAGCCAATGACATGTTTCTTTAGAATGTTCTCGGGTTGTTGGGGGCAGATTTTCAAAAAAAATGTCGACTTTTTGGTCGATCAAATTGCACTATGCGCTCTATCAAAGCAGATGAATTATGGAAAAACAGGCCAAAAAAAATCTTTTTTTTTGCGCGCGGCTCCCTCTTCGTTGTAAATTGGTGCCAAAGGCACCTTCAGAAAAGTTTTAGCGTCGCTCGACCGAAAAGGTGTAGTAAAATTTTACCGTTGATTATCCTTCGGGTGGTCAGGGGTCAAATCCCTGAGAGGGGGTCGTCTGCCTCGTGCCTTAAATCTCCTACTGGTTGGAGGGGATAGATATTTATAGCAAAAACAGAAATGAAAGCTTTTCATACATTTCCGGATACTTTCTTACATATGTTTTACGCTTGCAATTAGCAAGCTTTATTTCAATTACCAAAATCAGAAGCTGCATTCTAGCTGACACTTTTCCCTGTTTTTCAGTCGGAGGGCCTGAAATGATCATAAAATGGAGTTTGCCATTTTTTCTTCTTTTTTTTTCGCCAAGAAGTAGTCATTAATCTTCGTACTATATTAAGGCCTTCTCCTGCAACTGTGTGGTCGGCTACTCTGAGTACACCACTATGTACGAAGACTTGATGGTGCTGTCGGCTATGGGCACTGCTGCTAATTTGGACCCCGCCTTCTCACCCAAGAGGTCAAATCTACTGGCCTTTTCATCCATGTCAATAGATCATCCGGAAAGTTCGGAGCAGGTGAGGAAGTTGGCTTTGTTTTGTTAACTGATTATCCATGCCCATGCGTTTTCATAAAATCCAAGTTATAATGACAGTTTGAGTAAGTTAATCAAAACAGTTGAATGTTTTCAATTTTTTCGTTCAATCAACCTAGGCATTTTTATGAAAATATTTAGTGCGACGAAAAGACTTAAGGTGTCATAATACTATCTTGATATACTGAGAGGTCACTCGACAGGCTGGGCGCTTTTGACCTTCTCCCAAGAGTATTTAATTGAACATACTTGGAAATTAACTTATAGTTTTCTATGATAATGAATATGATGGCTTTAATTTCAGTGACTGTGTTTTAGCTGTCTCCTCGGTCGCCTGTTCAGAACTCGGGTGGCGGCACATCTCCTGGCGATTCCTCCTCAAACCCATTTGCATTCCAAAACGCAGCTGCCCAGCAGTCGCAAAGTAAGTCGTAGTTTAACTTGATCTACATTATCGTCTATATTATCGTCAACAAATCTTGGGATTAACTTAATTCTGGTAGCTTAAGTGTCAATGAACGAAATGAAGACTCTTATTTAGGCCACGTAGTTTATTCTGAGAAAAAGTCTAAAATTTGTACACGCTCAGAATTATATGCGGTTTCACTTCGGGTTATTTTGACTTATCCAATTTTAGTGTGAAAATGTTTCAGTTTTTGATTTCTCTGTAGAATTAAAAATTTACCTAATGATTAAGAGTCGACAAAAGTAGTTCAGACTCTTTTATAAGTCGCAATAATTTTTTTTTCGTTTCTTTAGGAAAAATCTTAAAATTTGTTCAGGCTCAAATTTACTTTGTCAAAGAGCAAAGGTCACAAAAAACTTGATCGACTTTACTTAAGGCCTTTTTGCCGCGATTTTGCTTAGTTTACAAATTACAGCTTGCCTCTGTGCAACTATTCTAGAATGCGTTTGTGCTAATTGCTCAAGGACCTGATATTCTCGCTTAGTTCGTGTTTTTCTTTTTTTTAAGCGTCTGACTTCAAAAAGTGGCTCTTGATTGAGTTCTGTACTAGTGTTATCAATTTTTAAAAATTCTCAAAGAGATTAAAAAAAAATAACTATTGATTCAATTTTCAAAAATTGGGTTGGATCCAAAGCAAAAAATGGTTGTCACTAAAAAGCTACTAGTTTATATGTTTACTACACTATCTGCAATTTAAGCTCGTTATTGTGTTGTTCCAGAGTGTTCATTGAAGCAAAAATGATTCTTAAAAAGCATCTACTATTTTAAATGTTTACCACACCATCCGCGAATTAAGCTCTTTGTGTCGTGTTGTTCTAGAATGTTCTCTGTTGCATCTGCCCTATAATGACGCCTCTCTTCCTTTCGCCTCCGATGTGCCAGTGTGTGCGATGTGTAAGGCGGCCAAAGTGCACGATGTCCTTCTGAGCACGTGTGAGCCCCCTGCTGATATTGTCACTTGTGGACCCCCTGTGATATTGCACGCCAATGTGGTGAAGAAAAAACGAAGGGGTCACGGGGAGACAGAGGCCGTCGAACTGAGGTGATCACACGTTTTGTCTCTTTTTCAAACCCCCACCCACCCCCTCGTTAAATCACAATATAAAGTTGTCTAAAAAATTGTTCAAATGGTAATTTACAAAGAAGGAACTTTGCTGGACTGTTCACGCTGACATGTTTTATTGCATTTTAGAACTTCAGATGTCATTTTAAATTGGCTTTCGTAAATCGAATTTTGGAAAAATTTTAAGGGGCTGGAAAATAGCCTACTTTTTGAATGTTTGTTCCAATTTTTGTGTGTTCAATGATCAAAGCCAACTAAACAATTTCATGGACCAAAAGTCTGAATAAAACAATAAATAATTCTAAATGGCTTAATACTGAAGTAACAATTACCTGCACTATCATTATAACATTGCTTTCGTAATTACTAAAGTTTAAAACTGATAATTATCCTTGCGATAAGCCAGGGTATTGTAACCGGGAAAACATTATTTTCTCGCAAAGAACTTTGTTCACAAGATGACTTAATTTGCCATCTTAAACTTCGGTGCTCGTGTCAGGCTCTTAGCATACTGCATCTAGAGCTGAAAATGCAGAAATATAAATCAGAAGTAAATTGATTTTTTTTTCGGCCGGTTGGATGTCGTCTCAATTTTTTACATGAATTTAGCATTAGTCGCATAGAATTCGCATTATGCGTCATATTCGTAAGAGCGTGAACTCGAAGCTTGTCTGCTGCAGTGGCATGCTGTCCTTCATTGAGCATGAAGTGCAGCAACAGCTGCTGCACAAGATGCAGATGTGCAATATGAACTCGTGCTGGTCTGTTCGCATCACCCTCACAGTCACCGAGAATGCAGTGATTGGACTGGCAGTTGGCACTGGACTGCACCTGGCTGCGCTCCCTTTTCCACACCTGGTCAATCTACCATCCAAAGTAGGTATAAGACAGCTCGGTGGTATGTAAACTTTCCGAAAAGAATTGATTGCAGTGAAGACATTTATATAGGCTTTTTTTTTTCGTTTTTTTTCGGGAAAGAGTATTTGAAGTTGTTCACGATCAAATGAGGTTTATCACCACTTGACTTTTATACAAAAATGTTAAGGTCAAGAAAGATGTGATTGACCTTTAGTTTCTAAAAATTGGCGTTAGTTTTCTGAATGCTAAGCAGAATAAAAAAATAACTTTTTGTTTCCGGTTTCTCTAAATGGCTTTTTTTACACAAGCAAAGCTTGTGCTATAGTACGAACTTTCTTTTTTTCCGACCTAAGTCGCAAGTTTTGTTGCGATGCAATTGTTGCGACAAAATGTGTTCATTTTGAAAGTGTTCATTTTGATCAATAACCAGCTATTAAGTACAGCCAATGAGGAAAGGAAATTAACACAGACTATTATATTACAAATAGCTTCAAGGTATCATGGTTCTGTAGCGTAAAGGTAGGGAAGGATACCAGCAGCAAAATATGAGGGTTCGAACCTGGGCAGGGTCGGATGTTTTTTATGAACTTTTTCGTATACTAGTTTAAATGTGTCCGCTCTAAAATTGAGGCATGTTAGTTGGTAATTTTCTTTTCAAATTGACTGGTACTGATAATTCGTCATAATTGGCTGGCGTCACTTGGCAATTATTTAGACTCATAATTGGCGTGCGTCATTTAAGAAATTTTGTAGAAGCTGAGTTTTACTCATTCTGTTTTTCCCAGTTGCGTTGTGGGTCATATTTTTGCTTGTGTATGCGAAGTGCAACTTCGCCTCTGTGTTAAAAAACTGCCAATCATAAATAATTTTTGAAATTCAAAGAGCTTTAACGCGATATTTTTTTAATTCGAAGTTGAAAAATGTTCCCGAATTTTTCAATCATTTTTTGTTTTCTTTGTTCTTAAACACTTTTCCAACTGTATGTTGATTGATATAAAATTTGAAAATTGTGCTTACAAACTTGAATGATTTCCAGTTTCCAAAAGGTTTCTGTCATCAGATGTAATCCTGTTTTCTTTCATGCTGTTCTAAAATCATGCTATAATTGCAGTTAATTCAATTTATGCTTATTCAAACGGTTTTCACTGACATGTTTACACTTGCGTCAGCTTAGTGTATTTTTACGAATCTTCTTTTTTACACTTGCGTTAGCTTAGTGTATTATTACGAATCTTCTTTTTTTTTACTAACTTAAGTCTTTACTAACTTTTGGGGCACCTTCACAGCTTTTTTGATAACATGTGCTGTGATGTTCGAATCGTAATAAGTTAACACGCATCAAGTGAACCCCGAAAAAAACTATTTGTTTTAAACAACATAACAATAATTAAAACTCGATTTCAGAAATTTTTGAACTCAATAAATCTCGTTACTGTGGATGCCTTCAATTTGTTGTCTTCCAAAATTTTACTTGCAAAATTGTCTATTTGTATTTGTAATTGGTGCCACTTTTGCTGAATGGCATTGGCAATTTATTAGCAGATCTAGCTGCTTTATTCGTGACTAGTGTTTGTCAATGGTTAAGCGTGCCTGACTGAGTGGTTTGTGCGTGAGACTCGAAATATCTATATTGCAGTTGGTCGCAGATTGAATCTTAGACCTAGCCGAATGTTAACTAGTTCGAGGATTTTTTCTTCTTGCACTTTTTTCGAGATTTTTCTTCTTGCACTTAAGAGTTGCTTATTGTCGTGTTTTCGCTAGTATTTGCAAGCGAAGCTTTGCCTCTCTATGAAACAATCAATCGTTTGTTTGAAATGGTTTTCATTTGTTCAGTTTCAAAGTGGAAATGATGGTGGACTTCGAAACGAGATACTGAACTCGAGAAACGAAATCATCAACAGCTCGCAAGTGGAATTTATCGCTGGAGACGGTAAAGATGCAATCGAAGCTCTACAGGAATCCTTGCCTAACATTGACCTCTCATTGGACGGCAAACAAGTCCAGGCGTCGGTAATCAAAACCTTGGATGAACCAATCCTGAATCATCTGTATAAGTCAGCGCTTAAGGCGATGAACGCAAGAAGCAGTACCTTAGGCGTCTCGACGGTGCAAGAAGCTTCGGGAAACATACCGGGGGTCCAATCGTCGGGACAGAATAGAGTGTTCAACAACCTGGCAATCCAAGTATCGCATTGTGATTCGTACAGAAATACTGCGTGGAATTCGAATGCGTTTTCGCAGACTTTGGATTCGGTGTTGGCGAAATTGAATTTCAAGGTAATTTTTTTATTTCTGAAATTTTTGGAGACCATTCGTTTGAAGCTAATTCAAGTGTATTTATTTTCTAGTATTGTCGCGGTTGAAAATTTAGTTATCGGTTGACTGATTTTTAATTTTGTAAGGTAAGATTTTAAATGCTTCCTGGTTGGGGGTTTCAATATATTTTTATCCAATTATGCTACAACACGATTTAGTGTTAAGTTTAGGTTAACGTAGTTTTTTCAGGGAAGTCTTAAAGTTTTTTCAGGCTCAATGTTACTTTTTCGCGGTATGACTTTTGACTTTTGTAAGCTCATTTCAATTCCTTTGTTAAAAGGAAGGTAACTCCGATATGAAACAGCTAAAAGTCACGAAAAAACGCGATCAAATTCTAGTTTTGACAGCGGAATAAAGTTTTACCTACTGATCTAGTGATCCATTCTCAAATTGGGTTAATTTTATCAAAAACGTGTCAATAATAAGATGTTCTAGAAATTAAAAAAACATTAACTTGATATATTTTTCTCTTCGAAAATTAAAAAATATTCAGCAATTTTCAATCAACTTTTTGGTTTCCTGGGTGTTATTGCATTTTCCAACCATTTGTTGGCTAATTTTCTTTTTAATTTCTAGATTTTCCAAATTTTCACTAAGTTTCCCCTCTTTGGTAACATTGTGCGACACCCATTTTTGGTTGATCAATCTCAAATTTTTCACCAAATACTAAGTTTGAGGAAGGAGCGCTCCAAAAAATGCGATTTTTTGGTCTTTCAAAAAGTGCCCATGAACTCTATTTTTATCCTTTTTGTTTTCCGTAATTACGCCTGTGGGGAGCTCGGAAAATCCAATTTCATTTTTTTTTTTCGAAAAGCCGCACGCCAGAAAAGTTCCTGTGCACGCCATTGCTACAGAAGTTGTTAATTTGCCATAATTTAAGCTGATTCAAAATGATATCTTATAACATGCAACAGCTTTATTATTGACGGAAAAATTTATAAAACGTTTTTTGAGAAAACTAAAAGTTCTTTTTTTAGTCTCGCAGGAAAAACTTGAAAAATGTGCTGATAAATGTGAGAATGAATCTGAGCGGGTCTGACAACATGGACGACAGTGCCATGTTATGCTGCACTGCCGACATCTGCGAACCAATAGCCACAGACCTGGACTCTCTCATCCTGTCCAGGTCCCCGATCCAGATCTCATCCCTGGCATCATTACCCAACTACCGAGTGGAAAAATACATGGGATACATCAACACGTTCTTTATTCGGGAAACGACCGATTTGCGCCAATTCGGGTCAACGCAAGGATTTGTGTCTTGTTGTCTGACTGAAATTCTAACCGTGTTAAGTGCAAGAATAGCAAACATGAGTGCAAATGCGCTGCTTAATTTCAGTATTCTCTATTTTGATGTGTACGATAACATGCATAAAAATCAAGCCCAAGCACTTTTGAATGTGAGAGGCGACATTGTTAAGCTAACTTGGTCCAGTGCGCCTCCTAGATCCAATTCCGACTAACTAGAATGAAAATTAATTTATTTGTACCATGGACTTGCATTTTGCAAAACATATTTCTAGATTTGTAAATTATTCTTTTTGTAATTATGGCTTACCCTGCCTGGATTAAAAGTTCCAAAAGAAGATCTTCTTCTCGCAGAAACTGCTTAAATTGTAATTGAATCCATATTGCAACATTATCTTAGCCTAAATTAGAGTTATTATATTTGCTTAAAACGGAGTCTTGCCAAGTATCAAGTGATGGCGATATCTGTTCTAAAACCCTAAATTTGATGTTCTTAAGTGATGTCGTCCGATGGTTGACGTAAGAATAATTCTCTATTTGTCAGTGATACTTGACTCATATATGACTAATCTAATTTAATGCGGTTATTTTTAAGGTCAAATTCAGCTGCTCAGGCAGAATTGACAAGATCGTTACAAAAGTATTCGTGGTTTGTTTCTTCAAAGGTATGAATACATTTTATTTCCTGACAACGAGAATTGTCTTTCAGAAGATTGTGGTCATCAAATTTCAGATCCTTCAAATCTGAAGTTCTGCTTTAGTGAATCTTTTTAAAAGTGATATTTCACATAAGAAATATTCAAATATGGATTTTTTAAGGATTTTCACGATAATTACACGGTTAGGGTTAGATTTTTTTTCTGCAAAAGTGATAAAGGCTATATATATTTTTTGAATTTTGCGTGCTTTTTTGTCTATTTACTACAAATACGGAAACAGAAAAATTCATAATTAAGAAGTCAGTGAGGTTGTCAAATTCATTTTAAGGCTTTCAAGTGTAACTTTGTACTGATTTTTTCGTACTGTTTTCAGTTATACGGGGATGCTAGATAACCTTCTCTTATGCAAAGGAGAGTTCGCAGCAATTTATTTAATCATGTTTTGTTATTTCACTTGCGCGAGCTTGTGACTTGTAATTGGGAACTAACTTTTTTCTGTAAGCAGCTTTTCTTCCAAATTCTGCTGACATGCTCAAGCTCTTGAAAATACAATCTTCTAGTCCATTTGAGGTTGTAATTAATTTTTTCAAATATATTGCATTTAAAATAGTTTTTTTTCGAATTTGTTTTTCGCCCTAATTTCTATCAGCTGATTTTCGTTTTTTTCCTTGTTCAATTTAAACTATCTGGTAAGGGTGTCGTGCATTTTCTTTTCAAAGCTTGGGTTCATTATTTTTTGAGTCCAACAGTTTATACTCTAATTGAAAAATATTCTGTAGTTTTTAAATTTACTAACTCTGATTTTTAATAATGTTATTGATTTTTTTGGTTAAACGGCTTCGGGCTATCTTATATCGGCTAAGTCAATTTATGCTGCGTAGTTACATAAAAAAAGAAAGAGAAACGTGTTCGCCATTTTCATGCCGAATAAAAGTGATGCGCTTAGATATGGAACTAAAATAACCTTGTAACAGATATTTTGAACCTGTACAAGAAAAAAAAAATAAGCGCATACAAAATCTAAAATTTGTCAATATTTTAGTTTTTGGTTCTACTTCAGCCCTAAATTTAATAAAAATATCGGTTTATTCAGCTTGTTTTGGAATTGTTGTTATAAATCGCTGTATTCGAAGGGTTTGTCAGTCCCTGGTCCCAACATAGCGTGCCCTTAAAAAGGCATTTCCGAGATTAAGTTACTCGTTGCATGAGTCATGGTATTGAGTCAAATGCGTCTCCAGGAGTCTGCTAGAAGTTTTTTTTTCCAAAAGAAGCCGGTAAAGAATCCAAACTTGAGAGCACAAGAAAACGAAAAATAATACGTTTCATCCCAAGTGATCATTCTCGAAAGAAATACAAATCAGGTTTTCATTTTTTGTTTATTTTCTTGATCATAGATTGTTGGACTATGTTTTTCAGACAGAAAATTGAGTGGCTAAACTATCAAGAACTAGCAAAACATCAGTAGGTACTTCAACAGCTGCTGTCACTATTCTGATTAGTTTCTTCGGACATTTCTAGCATTGGATGTTCAAGTTGGGTTGTTTTGATTGTGCTCACCGCGCGTTTAAATCAGCTCATCAATCTCCATTGCTGCTGCTGCGCGATATTTATGTGCTTGGTTATTTTTTTTGCAAAGACCCTACATTGGAAATTCGTTTTTTTTTGAACTATTACATGTGACCAGACGCAAGAACTTGCCTATTTTTTGATAAAATTTAATCAACAGTTGATTCAATCATACTTTGTTTTACTTTGGACAGTTTTAATAAAATTTGCAGCTTTCCTCAGTTTTTTAACTGAAACTATTTAAGATATTCATATTCATCTAATTGCTATACTTTAATGCATTTTGGCTGATTATTTAGTTTTTTGGCGTCGATGTCTTTTTGTTGTTTAGTTGTCATAATAGTTAATTGAATGACAGTTAACAAGTATTGGTAAGCTTTTATATTGAATTATGAAGCCTCATTTTTGGAATTATGAATGGTTTGAACGTAAGTTTTAGATTTAATAATCATGGCCAATAAGTAGGTATTTGCGGATTAATTTTGTTGTTAAGTGGTACATTGTCATGGAGTGAAATTGTTAAGGAGTTAAGTGACATGGTGTTAAAGTATAAGGACCCCCAAAAGATTTACCAAAAAATTACCAAATTACCCACAATTTCAGTGCAAATATACTTTTTTATGTTTTTGTACTAGGAACCAGGAGCGGATCTAGGATTTTCTCGAGGGGGGGGGGCGGATTTTCGAAAATTTTGTCGCAAAATTATGTGAAAAAAAGGCGTTTTTAAGCATTTTTGGACAATTTTGACCAAAAAATCGCATTTTTTCGGCGCGCGCTCCCCCCTCAAAATAAGTATATATTGGCGCCCCCTTAAATCTGCCCCTGCTAGGAACCATTGGGGGGTGGGAATAGTGCAAGAGATCCGAGCTTGTAGTGAACGAAATAATTTTTCACTAGTTTGCAATTTGCATTTTTCAGAAAAATTCATGTTTTTTTTTGCTAAGGAGCTTTAGTTGTATAAGGATACCAGTTTTTTCTCATCGCATTTTAAAAAATCCATTGCAGTCTTTTGAGAAATTTTTGAAAATTTTTTTTCTCATTTATATTGAATATGAGTTTCAATTCGACTTGAGACGTAACTTTGAAGAAGCTTCATTCAGTCTGTCGCGTTTTAATCTCAGTTTCAGTCAAACTTCATCAGTGATAATTCCATTATAAATCCGAGACACCTCTGAAATACGTCAGCCCCTGTTTGCCTCAAATAAGAACTTGTCAAGATCACAGACCACATGTTTAAAAGTAGGCCCCCAAAGTACGAAGCAATTTCACGCATTACTTCATGGCACAAATTTACTTACAGTCTAGTGTCTAGTCCTAGAAGTTTCAATATCTCAATAGTAATTTGATGTTACTTTTCAGATCTACTATGTTAATTCTTCTTCGTCATAGAGAGAAATAATATGAAGTGAAATCAAATGGAAGATCGAATGCTCCCTCAATTTCGCAGCATTAAATGCGTACCCCCCTTCTTTGTAGCAATTTTGCTCCCCCTGTTTATGAGTTCAATTGAGGCTTTGGTAAATTCACAAAAAAACTGTTTCATCGGACTAGTTGCCGAAAGACCTAGTTCAGTTCAATACGCAGAATACGACAAAGAAAATATTAAACAATATGTGCTACAGTTCCAAATTGACCTTTGCGAGAATAGCAAAAACACAGATGATATCAGTCTAGGCGTGAGTCGAATAGTGCAAAACAATGCACTGATGGCCATACCACACATAGCCCCAATTCCATCGGTAATAGCATTACAAAACAATGAGGAGATATCACAAGATCAAGCAAATGATCAACAAGTCTATTTCAGAATAGTAAATCGCAAAAAGGGTCCGAACAGCGACTCCTATGATTACTTCATAGAACTTGTGTTTCCAGTGCTGACACTACAGAGTTCAATGTTTATAAAGATAGTGTTTAAGTCCAAAGGAAATGTAGCGAGTTACTCGGCTTTCAGCGAATGGTCAGGACAGTTGATAGTCCAGCAGAAGGCAGAAATAGAAGCCGTGACACATCATACTGTTCAAAATATCCTCAACAATGGAGATCTTCGCAATGAAATTATCTGTGGGAAGTTACTCGGACACCCAGAGCCGAAAGTTATCTGGGAATGCGCCGGAAACCAGAACTTTTGGCTAAAGAAGACAAAAGATTCGCCAAAAGAGTATGGACCCCACACACAAGCGAATCTTTCGCTTTATGAATTCGGAGATGATAAAGATTGTCAAGGAGACGGAAGGTTTGAGTTGGTGTGTAAAATAAGCAATGAAATCATGACAGACGGCGTAAAGACAGAATACAAGGACCAGAAAACGATCAGCACTATGCAAGTGATCCAAGCGGTTGATAACGACAAAGCGACTTGTTATTATCTGGAAAAAGGAGACGATGGCACTGGTTGTCAAGACTATATATCCCGGAACAATGATGATAATAATAGAATCCAGTTCAACAGTACTCACGGGTTAAAATCATTCATGGAAGTTTTGAAGTTCAAGTCTTCCCATCTCAAAGGCGAAATCTCAATTTGTGAAAAAGTTATGCAAAATTTGGCATGTAATTTTTTCGCCAGTGACTGTAAAGAACGCGCCGAAGATCTTTTCTGCAGAAAAGAATGTGAAATGATTATAACATCGTGTTCGGTTAGCGAAGCGCTACCTCTGCAGAAACGATTTTGCGACTATTTCCCTATGCCTAATCGACAAAAAACATGCCGTGTCGACTTTCTGAAAGGTCTCTCCCTTTTCGACAATAAGACTCAAGTTAGCGTTACGAACAACAGTGTCTATAAAGGCAGTTTCATGGCCCCAGACAATCAGACGTGTGAAAAATGGAGTGACGTAGAAACTAAGTTTCACTTGCTAAGAGGAGCTTACTCACAAAATTACTGCCGTGCTACAAATGCGCCTGAAGATAATATTCTAAGATGCTACAACAAATTTGCAGACACGTATATTCAGTGCTGGCCAGAAAAACCAGAAGAGCCAGATTCTGGCGATATTCATCATCTGGCACGAAAGTGTGACTTTACGTGCAAATTGCAAGAGGGAATCGCAAGTCATTGGAAAGTAGTGCTAACAGCTCTCTGTTGTGTTGTTGCAATGGCTATAATTATTCTTGTGCTTATTTACTGTTGTTGCTGCAAGCGGCCAAGTGTACGAATGGTAGCTCATGACCGCAGTAGTTTTCCAGACATGAAACTGCGTCAGAACCCAATGTATGCGCCAAGTACGAACCAGTCCCGAGTTCTGCCAAACACCCCGGACCCATCGCTAGGTATGGGTCCCCCAGATATACGAGGCTCACACCCTCGATTTCCAAATGTGATGCAAGCATCTCGCAATCGATACGTGCCTACGCCTGAAAACAGTCTAGGACGGTCCGGTCAACCAGCAGGTCCTAACTTCAGATTTTCAGGCGGTTTCCGACCCCCTACTCCGGCGATTCCAGGTGGGCCCATGTCTAGAGGTCCTCCTCCACCTGTAGGTTTCGGCTACGCGCTAGCGAACCGAGATGCCAATCCACTGGCGCAATTTGAGTATGACCGGAACAAAATTCAGTACATAGAAGACATAGGATCTGGTGCTTTTGGGTACGTGTTCAGAGCCAAAGCGCCTGGATTAGGAAGGAGGGATATGTCTTTGGCAGCAGGAGGCGCTCCTCAGGATCCTTCTTTTCTGGGAACTGAGGTGGCAGTCAAGATGCTAAAAGATGACGCTACTGAAGACCAAATGGCCGACTTTGTCAATGAAGCGAAACTGATGTCGTCATTCAATCACCCCAATATTATTAAACTACTTGGAGTTTGCTCAGTTGGCAAGCCTTTCTGCTTGTTACTTGAGTACATGAAAAACAGAGACTTAAGCGACTTCTTACGCAAAAACGGACCAGAATCGGATCTAGACGTGAAAGCACGAGTGAACCTATCGATCGCAGATCTGATTCTGATCTGTCAACAAGTCGCATCTGGCATGTCTTACATCTCTGAGAAGAACTACATCCACAGAGACCTGGCCACCAGGAATTGTCTGGTTTCGGAAAGTATGGCAGTCAAGATATCGGACTTCGGCCTGTCACAATTCATAGGCACTGACGACTACTCACAAGTTGATGACAACGATGCCATACCAATTCGATGGATAGCCCCTGAAGCACTAATCACAAACAAGTTTGTTTGCTCAATAGTTTCAATTAAAAAGGAACATTGGTCTTAGAGATTATTGGTTTTAAATTTTGAAACCGTCGGTATTCACGGCGCTATGTTTACAGAACTAAAGCTTGTGTTATAGTATGATCTCTTTTTTTCAACCTAAGTCGCAAATATTGTTGCGACGCAAATTTTGCTGCGACAAAATGTGTTCATTTCGATCAATAACCAGCTATTAAGTACAGCCAATGCTACCGACATTAACACAGACTATTATTAAGTGTAATGAAATCCTTTCACGCTCAATTTTGATTTTCCGCGGTTTGACTTGTGATTTCTTTTTAAGCTCAGTGCATTGTTAAAAGGAAGGCAAACTCCACTATCGAACAGCGAAATCGTTGAGATGACAAAAACGTGATCGACTTCTAATTCCTGACTTATAATAGGAAAGGAGATCCGCAACAGTATAAGAGGGATCGAACCTGGGCAGAGTCGGATGTTCTTAATGAACTTTTCCGTATACAAGTTAAAAAGCGTGCGCCCTTTAAATCGATAAATTGAGGCATGTTATTTGGTAAATTTCTTGTTTTTTTTCAAAAATTGACTGGTTCTACTAATGCGTCATAATTGGCTTGCCTCACTTAGCAATTATGTAGACTCATAATTGGTGTAGGTCACTTAAGGAATTTTAAAGACTCAAAGTTTTACTCATTCAGTTTCCCCCGTAGCGTTATCGGTCATCTGTGTTAAGTTTGTTTTTCTATTTTCACGACCACATTCTTGAAGTGGTAAGGAACTCTGGCGTAGGGTGGGTTTTCCCAGTCGATTTAGATTTTCTCGATAAAAAGTCGTTAGTCATTGAGCAATGTATCATATTTAAGCCCTATCAGTCGTGATTCGGATTCTCAATGATATTTTGAGAAGGTTTTCTTAGTGTCGAGAACAAACTGGTGTGAATTTTTTTGCTATTCAGACTGAAATTTAGCGAAGAGCAACTACTTTCGCTCCATTTCTACGATGAGCTATTTCACGAAAATAAGTATTTATTTGCTTGAGAAATAAATGCATTATTTTTTGCGTGTATTTTCCATGGCTGTCCAATTTCGGCAATGATAACTGTTATCGGAACGTTCTTAGCTGAAAAGCCTCCGGCTTCTGTTGCTGTTCTGACCACTCCAGTGGGAGGGAACTTTGTGCTAGGTATGGATTATGCCATAGAATGATTCGACGGATTCAAGTGTGGTATTATATCTAAATCCCATTGGTTGTGATACGGATTCTAAAAAAGAACCAAAAAATTTGTTTTAAAAATGAAGTTTGGTCAGCGGCTGACCTCTAGTTTTAAATTTAATTTAGCTATTGTTACATCTCATTGTTCTTGCATCTGTAATGTAATTAGGTCGCTCTTTAACACAGATAATAACAGGAAATGCAGACCAAAAATGAAAAAATATGTTCCTTAGTTCGATATATTTTTTAACCTTTTTGTTGATTTTTTTTCTGAATTAATGTAGTCACATAATCTATTCTTCTTTTTACCGTTGCAATGAGCTTATTTGTCTGCTTATGTTTTGTCGGCTTAGTTGCCACATCGTTTAGTTTTTTTGCTGTACGCTTTTCACATTGTAATAGCTTTTAGTGTTTTGATTTTCTTCTGATGTTTGTCTTCGTAGATTTTTCTTTTTGTTTTTTTTTCGCTGAAACTTTTGTTCTTCACAAATTGTTCCGGCTTGCATTTTATCGCCTTAGTGTCCTAATTTGAGTCGTTTCAAGGTAAACGTTTTTTTATGCTCACCGAGTTGCACAAATTGGTTAAATCTTTATAGAAATAATAGCTGAAGTTTTTCATGGCAAGGAGTTTTCTCGGCTTGATAGGATTCCGGCATGAATTGTATCGGCCTAATGGCCTTAGATTGCTTCTTTCGACGAGCGAAAAAAAATCGTTTGTGCGTGTGTGTGTTTTGAGGGTGAGGGAGACATAATAACTATAACTGTTTATAAGTCCTGTGGAGTTTGTTCGGATCAAAGGGTTTCTGCTAAGTTGTTTTCGGCTTTGTTACCGCATGGTAAATTATCTTCCGATTTGAATTTCACTTTCTATTATCCTGGCATGTTCTTATTTAAAACTAGCCTGTTTAATTTTGGATCTAGTTTTCTAGATTTTTTTCTTTTTTCCGTCTTAGCGGCTTTCTGGTTTTGCATCGCAGCTTCGCCTCTGTGTTAAAGTTTGTTTTGAAAATTTTTATTTATTAGAATCATTTTATATAAGGATAATCGGTTGTTGGGTGAGAAGCATAGAATTTTATCCAAAAAATCCTAATCATAATGTTTCTTGAAATTGAAAGAGCATTAACGCCATTTATTTGAAAAATTTTCAAAAAAAGTTATCCTCGAACTCGTTCACACTTTTTCAATTATCTGTCGGTTCTTTTAATTAGTTAGAGAATTTTGAATACATCATGAGCAATAGAAACCAGTAAAAGTAAGTAATAAATTAAAGAATTACAGGAAGATCAATCTGAAATTTCCAGTCTGAAAATCATTAGTCTGAAAAACAAAAAGTTCAGACCAGTTCTTCTATTTTGATTTTGTTTTGATTTGTTTGAATCAAGATCAATAGAGGCTCAACATGAAACCACAGAATATAAAATCGGGAAAAATATGAAATACTATTTGCTTAAGTGTAAGTTTAGATCGAACTAGCGGATCTACTTAACAATTGCTCCCCCTTTCTTAATTGTTCAGTAGATCCGAACTAGCTTCTCAGGTCATCGCTGACTGGGCTATTTTCATGCGCAAAGGAGCAAATGCGCAAAACAGTCTCAATCAATGAATGCCTTTTAAGTGTCCAAAACTGACTTTTAAGTGTCCAAAACTGATTTTAATTGCTTATTTGCATCGAGTTTATGAATAATGAGTTCTAATTGGCTGGAAGAATTTTTGAACATGAAGGATTCCCCCATCGTTGATCAATAAGTTCATGTACTGAGGTGAAAATTAAACAAATTCTGTGAGTTAATAGATAAATCGCAGATAACGAAGGTTTTTTTTTTCGTGTGTAGATATACGAAACAGTCAGACGTGTGGGCATTTGGAGTTCTGTTGTGGGAGGTTTTCTCTTTCGCAACTCAGCCATATATCTCGATGGCCAACATAGAAGACGTAGTGGACTATGTCACCAGTGGAAACCATCTGGACAAACCACACCACACACCTGAAGACATTTACGAAGTAAAACAATTGTTCACACAGTCATTAAGTAGCATGGGACTAATGAAGCAGTTTCTAGTTTGAAATAAAAAATGGACCAAGTTAATATCCTCCCACGCAAAACCGTTTAGGGGGAGGGGGAGGCTGTTAATTTGGTTACGAGTTTGGCCTTTCAGTCAATCAGATTACAGCATTTTACACTGTAGTTTTTTCAGGAAAAAGTCTTAAAAGTTGTGCACTCTCAAATATGATTTTTCGCTGTTTCAAAAATGAGATTTTCGAAAGTTGATGAAAAATGTTTTAAAATTTATTTTCTTTTTGGTTTCCTTGATTTCATTGCACGGTTCCAACTGTCGTTGGTTATGTTTAGGTAATGTGTCAGTGCTGGAATGGAGAACCCACAAAGCGACCCAACTTCAGAAATCTATACGAAATACTCGACAACCTACTGAAGCGATACACGTCTTCACAGAGCGAAAGTTTCTGCTGACCCCAACCCCCCCCCCCACCCAACAGACACACACTACCCCATCTCAATCCAACCCCCCTTTCACCCAAAAAAGGAAGTACAGTACCCCTAATGTCTTCAGCAGCGCCTCAAATGACATTAACAACACAAATAACTCACAAAAATAAACCTTAACCCTAAATAAAAAAAATAGAGGTTCTTTTCCAATTGTGGCCAAAATTATCGTAGCTCTCCGTTGACGCTTTTTTTCCAATGAAAGAATTCAAACTGAAATTGAATAAAACACAATTTTCACATTGCTTAAACAAATATTTCAAAACTAAAATTGTCGATTATTAGACCGTATGCTGTTTACGTGAAAGAAATTGTTGTACGAATTGAATTGTTTTTTTTTTTGTTGTTTAAGATACAATTTTTGGAAAAAAGCCTCGGGATTTTATTGTAAAAACTGTGCGAATGATCAGTCTTTGTTTTCGAGAGGTTGACTGAGTTCTATGTTTTATAAATGCTTCTTCCTCCAGTGCTTTCTAACTAATCCACATATTTTTCAATTATCCCAGTGCAAATTTTATAGAGAAATAATCGTTTTTCTGGCTCTTTTTCCTTCCCACACCCCCCATCACCTCATAAGCATATTTTTTATGGTGCAATGAGGAGTTTTAAAAGGTTATGTATGGAGACCAAATATGTTTGTCGTGGCCCGATTAGTCCGAATGGCAAATTTTGTAACAATCAGACAACGTGAACAGAAACATTACGTATAAAAGTTCGCAGGTCGGGGGGAGGGTATGGAAAAAGAGCCGTTTTTCTTTCAAATTTGCTGATTTCGAGCAGTCGCGCTTTGACTTGATATCTTTCGTTATGACGCAGCATTTCAATAATTTACTTTCTCAAATTTTCTTTGCCTTAAATTCGTCTTTGCTATCGATTGAGTAATACGATTATTGTTCCTTATTGAATCCCTGTACTGCACCTGTACTTGGCTGTCGATTTGAAAGGATTATTACTCAAAGTGTAATTGCGCTTTTTATTATCAGTTGTCAGTTTGTCAGTCAGCCAACCTGTTCAAGTTTCAGAAGTATTTTTGAAACTTGTTTTATGCGAAAGTTGAACTTTTGGCTAAAACCAAACCCCCCCACCCACCGTCCCCTCCCCCCCCCCCACACACACACACACACACACATACCTACACACTAACACATCCGTTGCCATCGTGAATTTTTAAGCGTGAAATTTTTGGCCTCCTAATTCAAATTGATTGAATTTGGAGCATATAAGAATTTGATAATCTCGCTACATAACCGTGTAAATCAAATGTGGTACTGCGAAATTTCAGTGAAAGGGAAGAAAGCGGAAAGGTCGGGAAAGAAAAAGTTTAAATTATTGTGATAATTTGAAAAATAACAACAGGTTGACTGCAAATTTTGATCGTAACATCATTTTATTTCAATTTCTGCCTTGTAAATAAACGACTCGTAATTTTTCATGTGAGCTCTTCTCTGTGCAGAAAGAATGTATGTCTATGTTTAAGTTTACCTTGTTTAGCATAGTTTCAAATGTTGTCTCGACTTTTTTGTGTTTATAGTCTGAAATGCGGACTGCGTCAACATCCATTTCAAACAATAAAAATTGTCCAACTTATTGAAAAAAAAAAACATTGTAAACAGGTTATATTTTCAAACTTTTCAACACTTCTAACTCCAAAAATTGTTTCACAAAAAAACGTTTGTAGAACGTTTTTCTTTTAAGTAAATAGGCTTTAATAAAAAATGCGAAAGAATGTCGAGTTGATTTCAATTGGTGCTCTCAATTTCCGCTCCGTTGCTTAATTCAGGAAACTTTTTCTAAAATTACTTATTTTTCAGAGAATCGGCCTCATTCTTCGAGTTACCGGTCGACTTAAATCAAATGGATTACATAGAACATTAGTTTTAAATTTAAAAAAAACTAGGTTGTCAAACAGATGTTTAAAATTCGTTTAATAGAAATCCTGTTAAACTGTATAATGAAAAATATGTAAATGGTCAGTACGGGAATAAAAACAGTTGAACGACTGAAAAAGATATTAAATATAATATAAGAACATCTCTTTTTATATCTCCCCCCGATTAAATAATTTATTAATTCTTTCATGTTTCTTAATAATTTCCGACGCAGTTTATTTTTTTTGTTTGTCATCTTTGGATCCCAGTTCTAACCAGATTTAGCTCTCAAATGTTATATCTATCTCTTTGTTGCTATATTTTTGTCTATAATTCTATCACATTTAACAGCTTAGTCTCTAATCAGTCTTGGAGCATTTGTTCCGATTAATGTCTGAAAGTTGCCTGCAAATCACTGGAATTTTCTACAACTCCCAAGTTATCGCTGTGGAAAATAGCTCCAAAATGAGTAGAAATACAAAAAAAAATTATGATTTAGTTGATCCTAAAATCCTATTTTTTTCTGAAAGCTCGAATCAGTTTATAAACTTATTAAGTTATTTGTCTGAACAACTTAATTTGCTGCTAAAAAGCTATTAGTCGGTAAGAAAAATATGCGAATTGGCGATGAACTACTATCAGTTAATTACCTAATTAAGTGATAACTTGTGGAGTATTGTACAGAAAGTGTGTAGCTCGCAGGTGAAGTTTAGTAAATTTAAATGGATAGATAGGAAAGGAGAGAGTTTAATTTATAAATTATTCGTGCTGATTACTCGTGGTTGGTTTCTTAATTTAGTGTCGTCAGCTTAGCTAGCCCAAACCACATTATTTTTGTATGCACTTTTGTAAACTACTCATAGCTTTTGATTTTCATAGTAATGAAGAATAAATCTTAGTTTCTCCTGTCTTCACAGTTGCAAAGATAGATTCGAAATGAAATTTAAACCCATGTGTGGAATTTTGGAAGTCACCGAGTTCAATTTCACCCCAGATTTAATCGTGTTTTGATTACCTCCGCAAATAAAACACCGTTGAAAATTTTCACCAAACTGGACCGTTTGGTTTTGACTTTTCGCGTGTTGTTCATTCATTGATCCTCCAGGCAGGTCAGGGGCGGATTTGGGTGGGGGGGGGGGGCGTCTTCTCTTTGAATTATTTTGAGAGATCCATTTATGTCTGACGGACCCTAAAATTTTCAAAAGCGCCTTTGGCGCCAATATATACTAATTTTAAGGGAGGAGCGCGCGCAGAAAAAACTTTTTCCAAAACGTGTCTAAAACGCTATTTTTGGCCAATTTTTTCAAAATTTTGCCTCCGGCGCCGAAATTATGGCCAAAACTGTGTCTTTTTAGTGCTTTGGGAGAGCTCAGAAAATCAATTTCCTCGGTCTAAAAAAAAGTTTTTTGAAAATCCGCCCGCGCCTGCTCCAGGCAGTGTTAAGCGTTCGAGACTTTCTCCTGAAGAAAGGGAAAAACTCGAACGCTGAACTAACGCAGAATAAATTTCGAAAACCGCGTTATATCTACAGTCTGCCACTTCAAAGGCCAAAAAAAACTCGTATCGGGAAGTATTTTGAATCAACTGATCGAAATAAACAAGAACCGTCTTTCTCGATGAAGAATAGATCAAATTTACAAAATAGACAAAATCAAATATGAAAATTACTAAATGCTCGCCAAGAGATAGAAACTGAAGTCAATTTAGGAAGATAGGGCTTTTCAATTTTTGTTCAAGTATTTCTGTTCGAGGTGCGGTGAGTGATCTGAGCGAGAGCGGATATTTTAGGGATATTCGATAGTTATTGTAAATAGGGAAAATTCGCCTTTTTATGTCGAAAAAAATGGAAAAGTTTTGGAAATTTTATTTTAAAAATTTCAATTTAGTTGCCAAATGCAGGGGGAACCACTTGGTCAGATTTTTCTGAGCAGTCAGAAATGGTCAAATTTGTTAATTTTTTTGACCCGTGGTCAGAAAAAGTCAGAATTCGATAAATTTGACGTTTTACTAGCCAGAAAACTTAACTTTTTCCTTGAAGCGAAGCTCGAACAAGCGGAAAATCCTGCTCGAACTGTCGAAAAGCGGCGCAGTGTTGAAACAGTTAAAACATTAAAACAATTAAAACATTCTTTAGTTCCACTGTCGAATCCCATGCGGGTATGAAAGTAATACAAATTAAAAAAAATGTTCAAAACGATATTATACATAGTTATAATAGGCTAGTTAAAAATAGAAGAGCCACACTCTTTGGTTGACCAAAAAAATGTTTGTCGTAGTTTTCATGTATGAAACTTTTATGACAAGGACTTCTAGCTCCAAACTGAAAACTAGTTTTTTTTGGTGACCAAAGTGTTCTCAATTGAGGAAAAAGCGCTTTTGACTAACATTAAAAGGTCTTTGGTAATCGTGTCTCTATAAAAAAATCGTGTCACCTATTTTCATGTATTGGAAATTGTATAATAAAATTTTTTCAAAAAACCAAAAATCCATTTTTTTCTTCGTCAGACTGTTTTAATCGGTTCAAATAGCCACAGCAGTTTGTACAAGTTTTTCTCCAATCAGATTTTGAAATCATAATAATTTATGACTAACATTTTTTTCATTTGAGATAAAGAATTGTATGATAAGCATTTTTGGGTTATGGAGGTCATTTTGGGTGAATACTAAATGCGACAAGTTGTTGAAACCGTTTATGTCGTCGCCTCGGCCAAAATAAAATCCATAATTGATTGTTATGAAAGGACGATGTAACGAAACAAATGAAAACAACTGTGCCGAGCACGGTTCTTTAATTGTTTGTTCGGTTATGGATTTACCCTGATAATTTGTTGTTAATTTAAATGCAAAACTATATCAACAGGACTCAAAGTTAAAACTTATAAAAACTGCAATTATCTTAAACAAAAGAATAACAAAAGATTAACTCAAAGTGTAATTGCGCTTTTTATTATCAGTTGTCAGTTTGCCAGTCAGCCAACCTGTTCAGTTTTTTCGAAACTTGTTTTATGCGAAAGTTAAACTTTTGGCTAAAACCAACCCACCCAAAACCCACCGTCCCCCCCTACACATACCAACACACTAACACATCCATTGCCATCGTGAATTTTTAAGCCTGAAATTTTTGGCCTCCTAATTCAAATTGATTGAATTTGGAGCAAATTTAGAGTTTGATATTTTCGCTACATAACCGTGTAAATCAAGTGTGGCTCTGCGAAGTTTCAGTGAAAGGGAAAAAAGCGGAAAGGTCGGGAAAGAAAAATTTTAAGTTTCTGTGATAATTTGAAAAATAACAACAGGTTGACTGTAAATTTTGAACGTAACATC